TGCGGGGCCCAGGGCGCAGCGCTGTCGCCGCGGAGCCGGGCGGGCGGAAGGTGCTGTTTGGCGAGGGAGGCCGCGACCCAGCGACCGCAGCCTCGGAGAGAGAACATGGCTGGAGACGGCAGAGTCTGCCTGACTCCAAACCTGACACGAGCGACCCGCAATCGTAAAGGGCACCGGCGTGAATCTTCAGGGCGCCACCACCTACTCTGACGTCACGGCGTAGCACGTCCCCGTCCAGCGTCGCCGCTGATTGGCGGTTTGGCGCGACTTGCCTAGTAAACCCAGATCCGGTCCCGCGCTGGTGGCTCCTGGGACGTGCACCTGGGTTGTGTGACCACCTGAGGCTCCGGAGTGAGAGACATTGATTTATTGTTCCGCTTCTTTCTGCACGCATTGGGACTTTCTTATATAGGGTGTCCCAAAATTCACGCAAGATTTGAATTTTGTGTGAGCATTAACAACAACAACAAAATAAAAGCCCAATTTTACTTGGTTTGTTGAATCAGATTCTAATATCTGTTGCCCTTTGATTTCAATCCCTTCAACTTGATAAGCATTACCAAGTACCAATTATGGCCCAGGAGCAGGGATAATGAAGACCAATGAAGACCACGGCTTTGTGTATGTGCCAGCAAAGCCGTGGAGGCCATTTACCTGATGTGCTCTTCCATACATGACCTGATACTGTATGCTTTATGAATCAATAAAAAATTTACAATTTTTAATTATAAACCTGTGTTTTCTATCAAAATTACTTCTTACGTGAATTTTGGGACACCCTATATGTGTCCTGACTGAAGATGGAACCTCCACCGTGGTATATGGAGAGGACGCTCCAAGCAACTGAGTGATCCAGCCAGGGCCTTATTTTTCTCCCCTTTTCAATTCAACTTAGCATCTTCAATTATCTGTTTATTGGCTGTTTGGCCAAGTCAAAATGTAGGCTTCAGGAGGGCAAGGATGATCTTTGTTTACCAAGAACCTAGAATAGTAGACACTCAAACACTTCTTGAGTGACTAAGTGAATTACTGAGACAAACATGAAACATAAAGGATTAGATGTAAAATCCAGTAGGGCCCTAGCCGGTTTGGCTCAGTGGATAGAGCTTCGGCCTGTGGACTGAAGGGTCCCAGGTTCGATTCCAGTCAAGGGCACCATCTAGCTTGCAGGCTCCTCCCCATCCCAGACCCTGGTCAGGGCGGGTCGGGGAGGCAACCAATTGATGTGTTTCCCTCGCATTGATATTTCTGTCTTTCCCTCTCTTCCACTCTCTCTAAAAATCAATGGGAAAATGAATCTCTGGTGTTATTTTTCTTCTAGATAAAGTCCAAGATTCACATCAAGACAACTAAAAAGTCATTCCCTCTATGATCTGGATACCAGTTGCTGCAACAAGACTGAGCAAGGAACAAGTGTTCCTCCTTTGAGAGGTCAGCAGCGGAGGTATTTAACTCTGGTCTGGTGGATTGTTGCTTGCATGTTTTTGGTTAAACAAACTCCAGTGGACTTTGGCTGGAAATCAGTATTGAGCTATCTGTAGAGTTATTTACTGGATTTCATGACAAACTACTGGAGTCCCTGGAGGAGAAAAATAGAACCATAGAGCAGAGGTCTTCAGAATGGAGTAGGCATACCCCTGGGCACCCTGGAAAACCACCCAAGTACACTTCCAGTTTTACGGAAATGGATTTCCAAATTTCAGCTTTTAGTTTATTCTTTCCTAAAATTGGTCAGCTTGCAAACAAGCCTAACTACCTAACAGTCCTTCCATTTTACAAAGGAAAAATAAATGGATAAAACTCATGAATAAACATCTTTCATATTACAATTCAAACTAGGGCTACTGCCCTATGGTATAAGAAAACCTCTTTTTACGAAAGAGAAGGATATATCAAAGTATTGGATTCAGGGAAACCTCTTAAAAATTAATCCACTGGCAGATGAATGAATAAATAAAATGTGGTATATACATAGAATGAAATTATTCAGCCTTAAAAAGGAAGGCTGACATAAGCAACAACATGGATAAACCTTGAGGACATTATCTTAAGTGAAATAAACCAGTCATTAAACCACAAAGACAGTGTGAGTCCACTGCCATGAGGTACCTAGGGTCGTCAAATTCTTAGAAACAAAGTAGAAGGGTGGTTGCCAGGGGCTGGTGAGAGGGAGCAATGGGATGTTACTGTTTAATGGGTACAGAGTTTCAGTTTCCAAGATGAAGAGTTGTGAAGATGATGGTGGCAGTATTTAATGTCACTGAACTGTACACTTGAAAATGGTTAGCATGGTTTTAAAAAAGTAATCAAGACTTTCTAAACCTAAGGGGTTCCTGTCTCATATGTATGTATATAAAGGGATTGGCTTTAGAAACATACTTTTGAAAGCCTGTATAGAGATACTCTGGAAGCTGAATAGCCAAAGCAGTATGGATTGTTTAAAATGTACAATTTTTATGGGTTTTTAAGAACCAATGGATAAAAGTCATGAATAAGAACTTCACACAATTTCTTTAAGATTATGTGTCCTTTTAAAAAGTCAGATAGGCTCTCTGCTCTTCCTGTCCATCAGATAGCCTCAACCTCCTATGCAGTGCCAGCCGCAACCCAGAGACACAATGATGAAGGTCAGAGCAAATGGATTTGGCCGTATTGGGCACCTGGTCACCAGGGCTGCTTTTAACTCTGGCAAAGTGGATATTGTTGTCATCAATGACCCCTTCATTGACCTCAACTACATGGTCTACATGTTCCAGTATGATTCTACTCTTTGGAAGTTCAAAGGCACAGTCAAGGCTCAGAACTGTCAGCTTGCCATCCATGTCCATCTTCTAGGAGCCAGATCCCGCCACCATCAAAAGGGTTGATGCTGGTGTTGAATATGTTGTGGTGTCTGCTGGTATCTTCACTACCTTGGAGAAGGCTGGGGCTCACTTTAACAGTGTAGTCAAGAGGGTCATAATCTTTGTCCCTTCTATGGGTGCTGCCATCTTTGTGAAGGGGATGGAATCATGACAAGTGTGCCAACTCCCTCAAGATGGTCAGCAATGCTTCCTGCACCACCAGCTGCTTGGTCCCCCTGGCCAAGGTCATCCATGACAACTTTGGCATTGTGGAGGGACTCATGACCACAGTCAATGCCATCACTGCCACCCAGAAGACCATGGATGGCCCCTCTGGGAAGCTGTGGTATGATGGCTGATGGCCTGCCCAGAACATCATCCCTGCTTCTACTGGTGCTGCCAAAGCTGTGGGTAAGGTCATCCCTGAGCTGAATGGGAAGCTCACTGTCATGGTCTTCTCTGTCCCCACCCCCAATGTGTCAGTTGTGGATCTGACCTGCCACCTGGAGAAAGCTGCCAAATATGATGACATCAAGAATATAGTGAAACAGAGGGGCCCCTCAAGGGCATCCTGGTTATACTGAGGACGAGGTTGTCTCCTGGGACTTTAACAGTGACACCTACTCCTCCACCTTTGATGCTGGGGCTAGCATTGCTCTCAATGACCACTTTGTCAAGCTCATTTCCTGGTTTGACACTGAATTTGGCTACAGCAACAGGGTGAACCTTATGGTGCACATGGCCTCCAAGGAGTTAGAGCCCCCTGGACCACCAGCCCCAACCAGAGGAAGAGAGACCCTCAGCTGCTGGGGAGTCCTTGCCCCGAATCAATTCCCCAACACACTGAGAATCTCCTGACTTTCACAATTTTCATCTCAGACCCCCTGCAGAAGGGGAGGGCTTAGGGAGCCCTACTTTATCATGCACCATCAAAAAAGTTCACTGCACCCAGCCAAAAAAGAAACAATTAAAAATAAATATTTATTACAATTACAGTAATCTTAATCTCTTTTAGTCTTGTAAAAGATGAACATTTACTTCACATTAATTTAAAAAAGGAACCCTTATTGCCCTGACCGGTTTGGCTCAGTGGATAGAGTGTCGGCTTGTGGACTCAAGGGTCCCGGGGTCCATTCCAGTCAGGGGCATGTACCTTGGTTGCGGGCACATACCCAGTGGGGAGTGTGCAGGAGGCAGCTGATTGATGTTTCTCTCTCATTGATGTTTCTAGCTCTCCATCCCTCTCCCTTTCTCTCTGTAAAAAATCAATAAAATATATCTTTGAATAAAGGAACCCTTATTAAACTTATATTGAAAAAGTTTGTGAACCTCAATGGGCGAGAAAGCTTGTAGTTTTCCACAATTCTTTTAGGTGGCATGCCAGCAAATGCGTCGGGCTGTCAGTACTGCCGAGGGTGTTTGCAGCTTCTCTCAGGTTAGCTTTTTGCCTTGGAGCAGAACATTAGCCTCTCTCCAGGACCGGGGCGTGGCTCCCAGGCCGCCCTCCCGCGTGGGGTCACATTTCCTGCGCGTGCTCCCTGACCGCGCCGCTGCCTTCCCGCCAGACTTCAAGTTTTAAGTTTCATTTCCAGTCACTGGCCGAGACTGCAGGTTCCTCTAACCGCGGCCCTTTCGCGAAGCCGAGTCTATTTTCCAGGAGCAGAGAGCGCCAGCTATGGATCCTCGGAGCGGAAAGGCGGCGCGGACAGCTTCGAAGGCGGGAGCCGCCACCTCCCAGATTTTGGCGCAGAGTGCGAAGGGCGCCCCGACGAAACCCTCGTCGGCGAAGCCCACCCAGGCGAAGCCCGTCGAGTGTCCGGTTGTCCCCGAAGCTGTCCAGCCCAACGAGCAGAATTGCAGCTCCTCTAGAGCGTCGGGGAACCAGCGGAAGAAGAGCCCCCGGGGTTCCCGGGAGAGACCGCAGGTCCGCGCGCGGGGTGCGCGCACCGAGAAGGCCCCTCTGAGCGGTGACGCGGTGAACGGGCACACGGATCTGGCCAAGGCGCTGGAGCCGCCCCTTCCCAGGGCTGGATCTCGACGAAAAGGGGGTGCATGCACCCAGAAGGCGCCTCTGAGCGGTGACGCGGTGGACGGGCAGGCCGGTCTGGCCCAGGAGCCGGAATCGCCCCTTCCCAGAGCTGGATCTCGCCGAAAAGGGAGTGCATGTGCCAAGACGGCGCCTCTGAGCGGTGACACGGTGGACGGGGTGAACGGGCACACGGATCTGGCCAAGGCGCCGGAGCCGCCCCTTCCCAGGGCTGGATCTCGCCGAAAAGGGGGTGCATGCACCCAGAAGGCGCCTCTGAGCGGTGACGCGGTGGACGGGCAGGCCGGTCTGGCCCAGGAGCCGGAATCGCCCCTTCCCAGAGCTGGATATCGCCGAAAAGGGAGTGCATGTGCCAAGACGGCGCCTCTGAGCGGTGACACGGTGGACGGGCACACGGAACTGGCCGAGGGGCCGGAGCCTTCCGCAGCCCCGGAGCCGCCCCTTCCCAGGGCTGGATCTCGCCGAAAAGGGGGTGCATGCACCCAGAAGGCGCCTCTGAGCGGTGACGCGGTGGACGGGCACACGGATCTGGCCAAGAGGCCAGAGCCTCCCGCGGCTCCGGAGCCGCCCCTTCCCAGAGCTGGATATCGCCGAAAAGGGAGTGCATGTGCCAAGACGGCGCCTCTGAGCACCCAGAACGCCTTGAACGGGCAGGCGGGTCTGGCCCAGGAGCCGGAGTCGCCCCTTCCCAGGCATGTATCTCGCCGAAAAGGAGGTGCACGCACCCCGAAGGCGCCTCTGAGCGCCGAGAACATCTTGAACGGACAGGTCATTCTGGCCGAGGGGCCAGAGCCTCCCGCAGCCCCGGAGTTGCCCCTTCCTAGGGCTGGATCCGCGCGCTCCTCTGGGGAGCGGAGACCTCCGTCCAGGCCAACGGAGGGCGCCGGCCAGGATCCGCTGGTTCCAGCCTCTAGCCTGGGCCGGAGGGACGCGGTGTCGGGCGCCTGGAAGGTCGGTGCGGTGCTGCAGAAGTTGAAGCTACGTAGCGCAGAAATCTCAGAAGCCGCGAAGGTTGTAAACAGGGTCGTGGACCACCTGCTACGAGGACTGAAGAGCGGCTGGTCCGAGTTTAAAGGTGTCGAGGAGCTTCGCACTGGGAGCTACTACGAGCAAGTGAAGGTGAGTGCCAATCGCCTGCCCTCCCGTGCCCTAGGCGCGCGCCTGGCTTCCTCAACCCTCTTCTAACCTCCGCGATATTCCCCATTTCCTATGGTTCCTCACTTTACGTTGTAAGAAACTCAGACTAGTTCTTACATTCCCATTAAAACGACATACCTTTGTTCTTTCGTTTATTCATCACTACATCCAAGGAACATAGAGCCAACCTATATTGATTGCTAGCCACTGTTCTGGGGGGAATTCAAATGTATAGATTCATTCATGTAAGCAGACCTGCATTGTGTTTCTCCAACAGTGTTATACTTGGTAATTTCTGGTCAGATTATGACTTGGATGATTAGGAGTGTGATCTGCGAAATATCCACAAAATTAATATATCTAAGAAACGTTTTTTCTATGAGGATTTTTGTACTGCAAAGGAAAAATATTTTCAGTCTCTCCCTCCAGCCCCTGTGAATCCACTCTTTCTCTCAATTTCTTATTTCGATGTTATGGGAAACTCCCAGTGAATGATGTTAAAAATAAATTAAGAGAAAATCTCCTACAGGTACTAAAAAGCATTCTTCCTAAATACACATCAGATGGAACTATTTTTAAGTGTGTATTCCACAGCTCCATTTGTCTGTGCGTGGTTGTCATCAAAGCCATCATTCCAGTATAAATGGAAGGTTTAGGAGCAGGTTTCTGCCTGGAGTTTGTTTCCTGATCAGTGGCAGTGATGAAAGTGGACCATCTTGTCGTATTCTTGATCTTAAAGAAAATGCTTTTAGCTTACCCCTGTTGAGTATGATGTTCGCTGTGTGTTTGTCATATATGGGCTTTTATTAAGTTGAGGTATGTTCCCTTTATTGCCACTTTGTCAAGTTTTATCATAAATGGATGCTGTATTTTGTATTTTGTCAAATGCATTTCTGCATCTTTTGATATGGTCATATGGTTTTTATCCTTCATTTTGCTTATCACATAGTATATCATAATAATTGATTTGCAGATATTAAACCAACGTTGCATCCCAGGAATAAATACCACTTGATCATGGTATATGATCTTTTTAATATATTGTTGAATTTGGTTTGCTAATACACACACACACACACACACACTAATAAAAGACAAAGATGCTAATTGACTGTACCTTTGCTATGCCCACCAGCCAATCAGAAGAGTATGCAAATTAACGCAACAAAGATGGCCATTAAATTTGCATACTGCAGGTGGGGTGGGCAGCGCCAGATGCCACCCAGGGAGGTGGAGCCGGCAATCGCCCTGGTCAGAAGCCTGAGGCCTGGGCAGGGGCGGAGCAGGCCATCGGAGTGGGCTGGGGGTCCCCTACCCAGGCCTAACGCCCTGGCCAGAGGCCTGAGGCCTGGGTAGGGGCAGAGCCGGCGATTGCCCTGGGCTGGGGGTCCTCTGCCCAGGCCTAATGCCCCAGCCAGAGGCTTGAGGCCTGGGAAGGGGCGGAGACTGCGATCAGAGCAGGCTGGGAGTTCCCTGCCCAGGCCTAACGCTCCGACCAGAGGCCGAGGCCTGGGCAGGGGCAGAGCGGGTCATTGGAGTGGGCTGGGGGTCCCCTGCCCAGGCCTAACGCTCCGACCAGAGGCCGAGGCGTGGGCAGGGGCAGAGCGGGTCATTGGAGTGGGCTGGGGGTCCCCTGCCCAGGCCTAAGGCCGGGGCCAGAGGCCTTAGGCCTGGGCAGGCAATCGGAGTGGCCTGGGGTCCCCTGCCCAGGCCTAGCCCCAGCCAGAGGCCTGAGGCCTGCGTAGGCGATTGGAGCAGTCTGGGGGTCCCCTGCCCAGGCCTAACGCCCAGCCAGAAGCCTGAGGCCTGGGTAGGGGCGAAGCTGGCTATCGCACGGGGTTGAAGGTCCCCTGCGCAGGCTTAATTTCCCTGCCAGAGGCCTGGGACCTGGGCTGGGGCGCAGCCGGCGATCGCCTGGTGCTGGAGGTCCCCTGCCTAGGCCTAATGCCCAGCCAAAGCCTGCGATCGGAGTGGACTGGAGGTCCCCTGCCCAGGCCTAACGCTCCTCTGGCCTGGGCAGGGGCGGAGCCTGCTATCTGAGCAGGCTGGGGGGCCCCTGCCCCGG